TGAAAGCGGAATTGTATGAAAAAATTAAACAGCACAAACCTGCGAACATTAGTTACGTGACTGATGAAATGGCCCGTCAATGTGGTGTCACTGTGCTGCGGTTACCGCCCTACCACTGTGAACTGAACCCAATAGAGCTCATCTGGGCTCAAGTGAAGGGTTATATTGCGCGCCATAACACAACCTTCAAATTACCAGACGTTAAGGTTTTACTTGAGACTTCCATACAGCTAGTAACGCCCGAAGCTTGGCAGAATGCTATCCGTCATGTTGTGAAGGAAGAAACAAAAATGTGGCAGCTTGACCACCACATCGACACCATCATAGAGCCAGTTATAGTCAATTTCAACGAGGAAAGCGATAGCGACAGTTTATTACTGTCAGATGTAAGTGGAAGCGACGATGAATAAAGGTAATTCCCAATTTTTTGACTTACAATATGTTTCAAACCACTCTTTATTAAGCATGTGACAAATCTAGTTCACCCATGTTAAACATTCATACCCCGCCTATGAACAGCCGACTACTGGTGGTTAAGTGATGTTCACGTGAACATCGATGAGCCATTACAGTTTTAGATAGTTATAGTATAGTAGTTTGAGTGTAGGTCAACGACTAGCAATAAACATTTGCTAATAAAAATAAAAAACCAAAGGTTTTTTGAATCTGGCATTTAGCCCTCAATTATAAAAAAAGGTAATATAATACCGATACATAAATCAGGGAAAAAAAACAGATGTTAACAACTATAGACCAATATCAATAATATCCAGTATACCAAAGTTTTTGAAAAAGTTTTATGTACTAGAATGATTCGATACCTCACAAAATTCAAAATTTTAAGTGAAAATCAATATGATTTATAGAAGGGAAGGCTACATCGGACGCAATAACTAAAATTGTAAATCAAATTCATCAAAATATTCATAATAAACTCCCTTCAATCTGCATTTTTGTTGATTTAAAGAAAGCTTTCGACACAGTTAATTACAAATTATTATTAGAAGCGTTGGAGAGACTTGGTTTCAGAGGAAACGCGTACTCACTGATCAAAAATTATCTGTCAAATCGCCCATAATCTGTGCAGATATCAGGATCGTTTAGTAAAGAAATGTATATTGAGTGTGGTGTCCCACAAGGAACTGTCTTAGATCCACTGTTAATCAATGATGTTTTCCAAATTAATTGTGTTAGCAAAATAACCAGTTTTGCAAATATTATATGAAGGCACTGACTGGTCTGATATGAAAAATATAATTGAAAATGATTTTATCAAAATTATTCGGTGGTTTAGTAGTAGAAAATTAAGCATTAACTATTCTAAAATACATTTTTTATCATTTGGATCTTATACTAGACATCTGCCAAATTACACAAATTTCTCCTTCAACATTAATGATCAAAAAATACAAATTAATAGAGTTCCCAACATACAATACCTTGGAGTGGACTTGGATCCTCACTTACGGTGGGACATCCATGTCAATTATATTTTAAGGAAAGTTAGATTTGTATCCTAGAAAATTAAATACCTTGGGTATATATTGACAGAAAAATATCTTCTAACATTATACGATGCACTGATTGAGCCTCATCTCACATATGGTATATTAGCATGGGGAGCTGCATGTTCCTCACGTATCTATAATTTAGATGTTTTTCAAAAAAGTATTCTAAAAATGATGTTTAAAAAACCGAAACTTTATCCCACTGACAAATTATACGCAGATGTTCGAATGTATTGTATAAGACAGCTTTACTTCTTAGACAGTATCAGTCCCTACCATAAAGTTGTAAACACCGACCAAAAAATTAAGCATAATCATTACAAAAGGTACATAATTCGTGACACAGTAGTTCCTCAGCCGCATAAATCTATAATGCAGCGGTAATATGTCTATTTAGCGCCAAAATTTTATGAAATTATACCTAAAGACATAAAAGTTTTACGTTTCGGAAAGTGTTTCAAAAGAAATTTAAAAAAGTGGCTACATTCTATATATATGACTGAAATTCATAAACTCATAAATACGAACATCAAGTAAATACATAATCTTCTGTAGCTAATTTTTGTCCTCTCTTGTCATTTGCAACTTAAAATTATTGGTCCATGTACAGGCAATGCCTTCTATTGGACCTGTTTTGATTTTATATTTATTTACTGATGTTGTTTGTTATCTTTGTACATTGAGTGAATAATAATTATTATTATTCTTATTATTATTATTATTATTATTATTATTATTATATACAGGAATAGTATCTTTTTACATTGAGTGGATGGTGTGGGTAGGAGAATGCAACAGCTACGTCCTTTTAATTAAATTTTATTTATTGATTTATTCGGAACCTATATACTGCCTGAACAGATAACAAATGAACAGGCAAGAAACAACAAACACAAAGTTATAAGAAAAACTGTAGAAGGAAACGGGCACAAGTATAACTCACCCCACAGTTAAAAAACACCTTCTGAGATTGTTTTTGATGGAACTAAAAACATTATTTTCACTCACAGACCCTCTCACACATTATACAAAACATAAAGTGGCGAAAATAACAATAAACTTGTTCGTGGAACAGGTAAATAAAATGAAATTTTACTACTATGACGAATACGTGAATCGGGAACGCGAAGGGAGATCCTATCTAGAAGAAAAGGACAATCAATAGTTCCATTAAACAAATTACATTAAAATATGGAAGCTGAGATAATTCTACGTTTGACTTAACTAGACAGATTGTACCTACTTAGAAATATGTCATTGCGTATGCCCCTTTCAGGTACACTCCATCATCAGGGTGTTCATTTGAAAACCTCCGACCACGGATCTATCGAAAAACACTGATTAAAATAAAAAACGCCGCGGCACCTCAAAAGATTTATTGAGAGCGACAACTTTTAACCAAAAACTACTTCACCCTCTTTCACCCTTTATCCGCCAGGGCCATTCCCTTAAAAACTTTAAATTACAAGGGGTATCGAGTGATAGCTTGTTTGAAAGGTCTTTCGAAGTCCTTTATTATGACGTGTTATTTTTTCAAATCGGTCTATTGGTTTTCAAGAAAACTAGAAAAATCTTCATTTATGTTAACCTGTTCAGGTAAAAAACAAAAACACATGACAATATCACGTTTTATTTCAATAAGTGTTCAAAATGTTTCCTGTTATTGGCCAAACAATGATACAGGAGATGTTCAAATTCCTGACGGACATTTTCAAAAACATGTTGTGGGATTTCATGGCAGGTTTCGATGATGCGTTGACGAAGGTCATCCAAACCTTCAGGTTGGGAAGTAAACACAATAGATTTCAAATGACTCTATAGAAGAAAGTCTAATGGAATCAAATCAGGAGGCCTACTCGTAACAGACCATTCGATAGGCCCTCTTCGCTCTATTCATTTATATGGAAACTCATCGTCTAGCCATTGCCGAACCGGAAGAACATAATAAGGAGGCGCGCCATCTTGCTGAAAATATATTTCAGCCTCATCAAGTATAGGCTTTCCATCCTCTTCGATTTCGTTTTAAATGGTTTCAGTGATAAACCGATTGATGGTATTTTCCAACATATCCAAATAAATGTCTCCATTCAAATTACCATAAAAAAACAATGCTCCAATCACTGTGTTTCCTAAAATGCCTGCCCATACATGAATTTTTTGGGGTATGCTCTTCTACAAAGGCACGAGAATTTTCATTCCTCCAATTCAGGCAGTTATGCTTATTAAAAGTCCATTTAAATAATGTGCATTCATCACTGAAACAGATATTCTTTACATGAATGGTATTCTCGCTAATCTCTGCACAAACTTGTTGTTCGAAATTTAGAGTCCGTAACTGTGTGTACAGAGTCTAAGGAAATACCAGTCGCAGAAACAATTTTGCGTAATGAAGTATTAGGATTTATTCCAAAATGACATTGATCGGCTTCATCCAAGACGCTCCGATGATCACGTTTTTTATTTGTAGCATATCCAGTTTGAGTAAATTTAGTAACAAGGTCCAAAACATACCTATGAGAAGGTATCTTCCCCGAATCTCTGGGGTTAAACGTGACGGCAGTTTGCCGAGCACATTGATTTTGGGGACCATAAAATAGAATCATTTCCACTCTTTCGGTTAGTGTGTAAACCATTATGAAGTAAAACCTGAATCGATAAATTAATTTTCACTATCTCAAGATTGTCACGAAGGTAACTGACAGCTTATTAGATTCTTTTTTTTCCTTAGCAACAAATAACTAAACAGGTGCAACAATGAATACAGTTCGCCCAGGATATCTGTGTTGATGAAAAAATGCAGAAAAAAAATTCTTGTTTGGTTGTTGCCTCGTCAAATGTTCCGGATCGCTGTTTATGTTGGTGGTTTCTGTTTCAAATTATAAACGTCAAAATTTTGACAACTTATTGAGATAAAAAGTGATATTTTCTTGTGTTTTTGTTTTCTACATGAACAAATTAATATAAATGAACGTTTTTCTAATTTTCTCGAAAACGAACTTCGAGAAACCTTTGAGCTATTACTCAATAAACCTTTCCATTAAAAATTTTTAAGGAAATGATCCTTGGGGGCCCAGGGTGAAAGTCAGTTACTATAGTATGATTCTTTATCTAGAATTCTACATTTGTGAAATCCAGTTCATGTTGATTGCCAATTGCATATTTGGCTAACGCGGTGGACATTATCATTTTTATTTCTTATCTCCATACTCATGCTTATACATCCTTTCCTTAATGTATTGTCTAGTCTGTCCCATATACGAACACCTATTAACTTGAGCAATCCTGGCGCCTAAATAAGCTAGCCGACTATTAAAATACAGCAGGGAGAGTTTCAGTGAAAATATTTATATTTAACACTGACATAATTCAGGCATGCATTCTACAGATTACTTCTGTCGGTAGCGAATCGACCCTGATACTAAATTATTCTGTGATAGAGGTATAAAATGACGAAGGTACACGATATTAAATTACTACAAAACAGTTTCTTACCTTTGGTAGTTCTGAAGCCTTGGTTGATAGCTCTCGTAGTTCTAACGGCTGCCCGGTATATCCGCCAGTAGAAGAAGAGCATAACAAACATGGGGATGTAAAACGAGCCTAAGGCTGAGTACAGTACATATCCAGTCTCGTTGGTCAGCTCACACTTCCACGTGCAGTGGACGTCGTCTTCTATAAGAGTTCCGTTTGGAGGCGTATCGGGCTGAAACAATAACCCTGGATAATGAGATGTACACAGAAAATTGGACCACGTATATAACCATTCTCTCGTTGGATGGAATAGACGCATTGCTTGCTAATTCGATTCAATGAAATGGTTAGACAGAATAGTGTTTGGAGTGAGCTAGATATGTTTGCTTTCTATCTCTGTAAACACGACTAACCGCAGATGGCGCTGTTTCGAGCTCTTCAGCACTCATCACTGCGGTGTAGGCTTACTCTTGAAGAAAGACGAGCAAGAAGCAAAGAAGTAGGTATGGTCTTTTGAGAATCTCAAAGTAGGCGAGAAATCTGACGACATCCACCTACAAATGGTACGCCTTAAAAATAACACAACGACCCCTACGTTTTATAACATATGACCAGACCCAAGGTCAGCACCTTGCACATTTGGCAACGCGATAATTGAAACTGGGGATTAAATACTTGGCTTAATTTTCAAGCTACTTGAAATCAATCTAAACGCAAGTCAAGTATTAGATACAAACAATGTAAGTTAAGTTGAATAGGTTTTACGTAAAGTACTTGAAAATTCAAGTGGACTTGATATTACTTGATAATTTTTGTGATATAAATACTGATCTTAAAAAATCAAACGTCAAAATAAGGAACTTCGAAGAACCTTTCAAACAAGCTATTACTCAATAACCCTTTTCATAGATACGAGTATATTATAAATACACGACGCCACGGCTATTATTCAGGGTGTTTCCGAACTAAGCGATCAAACTTCTAGGGGTTCTTCAGTGTAACAGTAGAAAACATTTGAGTATAGGGACCCATATCCGGAAAAGTCACTACGGTACTGCGGCCCTAAGACGCGTTAAAATTTGGAAAGACGATGAATTGCCTAAATAGGATTTAATGTATTTAATTGTTGCCTCTTGTACATGATATAATCACAACAGTTGTTCAGAATGGCTTTCCCCAACCTGAATACACCGATTTAAACGTCGCACATGATTTCGGTAGACTTGACTAAAAATTTGATACTCGTCTTGAATGATTTCAAATGCTGGGATTCGTCCAATTAAGGATTGCTCTATTTCTACTAGAGTTTCGTAAACCAGAGACTTTACGTGTCCCCACAGGAAAAAATCTAGCGACGTTAAATCGGGGCAATCCAACGATGCCCAAACCGCTGAACCAAATACTCACGTGCTTGTACAGCAAAGTAAGCCGACGCTCCATCATGCTGAAACCATATTTGCTGTGGAACGTCCAATGGAACACTTTCAAGTAGTTCTGGAAGAACTTCCTCCAAGAAACGCCGGTAAATAGGTCCTGTTAACCGTTCCGTTAGAAGGTATGGCCCAATCAAATAATCATCAACAATGCCTGCCCATACGATGACAGACCAACGTTGCTGACGTTTTCTAGAGAGCATTGCATGTGGATTTTCTTTGTCCCAAACGTGGATATTCCTTCTATTAAAAATACCGTCACTTGTGAAAGATGCTTCATCGGTCCATAAAACGTAGCGTAAAAAATTTGGTTGAGCAGCGATTTGATGAAGAAGCAATTGCCAAATTGAACTCTAGGATGATAATCGGCTACAGTCAATCCTTGAACTTTCTGGAAGTGGTAAGGATAAAGTTGTTGCTCGTATAGCATCCGCCAGACGGAAGCGTTACTCGTATTCATATCCCCAGCAATGTGACGTGTGCTACTTGATGGTTCGTCGGCAACTCGCTGAATTACCTCTTCTTCAAATTCGACGTTCTTACGGTTTGAGCAACACAAGTATCATGCATGTTGGTTTTAAACATGCCTGTCTCGGAGAGCCGCCGATGAATAGCAATAAACTTCTTGTATCCCGGATGCTGTCGTTCGGGATAACGTTCTTGATACAACCGCGCTGCTGCTCGTGCATTGCATCTTGTTGCTCCGTATGCCAAATGCATGTTTGCTAATTCTTGATTGGTAAAGCTTTCCATTAGCAACAATTAATTTTTGTTAAATTCTTGCAAACTTCACAAATACGATAGCACGACTAAGGCGATATGGAATGCAGCTACAAAAAACAATCTCTGTTATTGTTTTTAAAGATAACAACACACAAGCGCCGGATATGGGTCCCTATACTCAAATGTTTTCTACTGTTACACTGAATAACCTCTACAAGTTTGATCCCCTAGTTCTGAAACATGCCTGTATAAAGAGTCTATAAAACAAAAAACAATAAAATGTCGTTTTGCAGGCTAGGTAGTTTTTGGGTGCAAATAGGTCATTCCACGTTTGCTCGCTAAGAGCGCTGTGAGCGTCCATCTACGGAGGAATTACTCAACTACACGCATTGTTGGTTGCAGAGAGCAAGTATATGTCTTGTGAAGCCCAATAGTCTGAAGAGAAGATGTGAAAGAAGGAAAGCTTGTTGAACAGTAAGATCGCATCTGGATGATTGTGTATTGATCTGCATGTGTCTAAAATCAGAGATATTTGCTATGTGAGAAAATTATTACTGAATATCCTGCCAATGAAGTATATATTATATCAGCTGTGCCCGATGTGTTATTTATATGTTGAACTTTCTGAAGACAGGTTATGTTAAAAGTTATAAATTACGATTTTTCCCATTTTTTGTGTTTTAAAAAACAATGCATATTGAACAAAACAATGTGTGCATGTATAACAAATATAAGAACGATGAAACTGTAAACTCAAATAGAATAAAACCATTTCTTCATCATCTGATACAAAAAAAATGAAAAATTCTGAATTAGCTTTTCATTCGATAACCACGATTAAGGCACATGCGAGTCCTAATGGATTTATCGCTTAGTTTGCGGGGTTCTGTAGCCCTATAGGATTTTCTTTCAATCAATGCTGCTGTTGCAGTTGTCGATAAAAAACTTACCATTAAGACTAGATTTGGGAATATATTTTCAAATACAAAACTCGGCTCATGGGTTGTACAAATAAATATCACTGAAGGCCTTCAGTAGAACAAAAATAATTTGCTATCAAGTATCAAGTAGTTTGAAAATGCTTAATGTCAAGTAGAACAATAAAAAAATCTAGCCGACACAAGCATTAATGTTTCGAGTAGCTTTATTTTCAAGTCAAGTGGTTCATAAGAATATCAAGCTTCTTCAGATTTTATTTATTTATTTTTTTTAGCAACATGAAACAGCCATAGCCAAGTACAGGATGGATAAACATGAAAATGTAAACAAATCCATGTAGTGGATGCATGTAGAGAAAGCTAAGACACTGCAAAAAACCTCAAAACAGAACTGCGAGGAAAAAAAAGCGTTGTTGCTTTACCTACAAAGCACTCAACAATCACACCGGCAAGCATTAACGAAAATAAGCATGTCTCCCAAAGTAGCACAAAACGAAAATATATCTAAAACGCTATTAACTGGATTATAATTAAGGTACATTATATAGATAGGGGAAAACTATGAAAAAGTATGTCAGTTCTAGGCCTGGCTAAGTAAAAAGTTAAACTAGTTCGTGACGCTAATCTAGGAATTAAAAAGTTAAGTTGTTCTAAGATGCCACTGGAGTCAATAATGCCATGGATGAGCTTGTGAGTGAACATAAGTGAATTCTTTTTGCGTCTGCTCTCTACATTATAGATTCTGTGTCTCACCATCAACTCACTGTGAGAAAAGCCAATAGCAGGATATATCCCGTCTGATTAGTATGAGAGGTATTTTAAAAACTTTCTTTGAACGGACTCTAAGCGGTCGATATATATTTGATGATGAGGATACCATACCAGGGACGCATACTCAAGCTTACATTAGCATAGTACAGTATTTTCAGTGTAAAGGAGTTGTGGAAATCACCAGTATTTCTTACAATAAAACCATACGCCTTTGATGCAGCCACAACAGCATTTTCGAGGTGATAGGAGAAGGAAAGTTTTCTGTCAAATGTGACTTCCAAGTCATTAATTGTATTAGGTCTGTCAAGTTTCCTGTCACCAATACTATATTCATACATCATTCCCCCTGTTTTTAAAGTAAACGGCAAAACGTGACACTTAGCAGGATTCAAAACCAGTCTGTTTTCACGGCACCAGTTGTCAACCCTTACAACGTTGCATTGCAAGCGATGCCAATCTGTTAGAGACTCTACAGAAAAGCTTCATATCGTCAGCATATATAAGAAAGTCAAGATCGATAACTTCAGAAATATCATTTAAGAACATAATAAATAACCGAGGTCCCAAATTAGATCCTTGAGGAACACTGGACATTACAGGGTATAACAGATAATGAACTCCTAACTGCCATGTCTCAAAATGACGGCACGGTATCAGCACGAAAGATGGTGGGCTAAGATGAAACGCAACATTAGGAACAAGTTAGCTAGATGCATGAACTTCAAAACAGTTTTGACCCCAATATTTAAACAGACAATATAAATTAATCAGATACAACTAAATTCATTACCAACAAATATCCTCCTTTCATCTACATAAAAATGGTCCTATAAAGTGTTCTCCCCGTAAATATTATCAAAGCAAGGTCTTATATATACGTCACGAATTCTGAATGCCCTCTTGCCTGCAGAATTTTGATACTGCGACTCATCAAGACAAAAAAAGTAGGTCGGATAAACAAAGACATAAATATTTTTTGCTCCATATCGGAGAAAAATAATCTAGGAAAGTTGAAGGTTTTCTTCGACGTCGAGAAGTTTTTCTTTGCTATTTATGTCGAGCGTGGCAATAAATGAAAAGTAGTTATCCAAGGGTTAGAATGATTGAGTAGCGCCTTTAAATAATCGGATATCCTCGATAAGCCAGAAACATAATATCGTTTTTCATTATTGCTGAAAGATTCTCGATTTTTGACTTTTCATAAAATCAATGTAATGAAATTCTCGCTGAACCTATTGTTGTGTTATGTTTCAGCATTTGAGTACAGTGTGAGTGACACACAATTTATGAGGTTTTAAGTTTTAAAATTTACCAATAAAATTTCATCATTCGATTTCTTCTTTCTCTCGTTTCTATTTGCAAATATCCTTC